GGAATTGAACTCAGGACCTCAGGAAGAGCAGTCAGTACTCTTAACCACTGAGCCATCTCTCCAGCCCCGTGCCTCTTTCTTTCACACAGTTCCCATGTGGGAGGAGGGATGTTACCCTAAAAGTTGTCCTTTGACTTCCACAGGTGGCAATGGTACCTACATGCCTGTGTGTACACACACCTTTTTTTTTTTTTTGCTTGTTTGTTTTTTGAGGCAGGGTTTCTCAGTGTAGCCCTGGCTGTCCTGGAACTCACGGAGACCCTCCTGAGGACCGGGACTAAAGGCTTCACCACTACCACCTGTCTTTTTTTTTTTTTAAAATAACTTAAATTATTTTTATTTTATGTGCATTAGTGTTTTGCCTGCATGTATGTCTGTGTGAGGCGTCAGATCCCCTGGAATAGGAGTGACAGACAGTTGCAAGCTGCCATGTGGTTGCTGGGAATTCAACCCCCAGGGCCTCTTGGAAGAGAGTTACTCTTAACTGCTCAGCCATCTCTTCAGGTCGCCACACTCTTTTTAAAACAAAGATAAACACTGTTTTCTCCACGGACTGCACAGCCTGACAGGAAAATCAGGTGACATCAATGTGGTAGAAATTGCTTGAATTTGTTTAGGATTGCAGTAACAACTCACCTCAGGCTTCGAGGCCCAAACAACAGATCATTGCTGCCCCACAGGGAGGGTGCCCCCCCCCCCGGCTTTATCTAGAGGATAACTTTTCCTTCCTAGCTTCTGCTGATCTCTGTAGTCTTTGCAGTTCTTGGCTGGAAGACACACTGCTGCAGACCTTGGTCCCCTGGTCACATGGCATCTTCCTGACTAAGTGTTGGTCTCCAGATTTCCCGTTTTGATGAAGACACGGTCATATTCAACCATGCTATAATGATCTTACTTAATTCTACACAGGCCCAATTTCCAAAGACAGCGACATCTGTTATTGGGAATGGAACTCAAGAGTGTCTCTTTGGAGAACACCAGAACTTCATCAGTGGTTAGAGGCAGGGCATCAGGTGGAGGTGGGAAAAACGGTGATTTGGGGGCCGGAGAGATGGCTCACAGTTAACAGCACTTAGTACTCTTGCAAGGGATCCTGGGTTCAATCCTAGAACCAACATGGTGGCACAGGAGATTAGACTCTTTCTGACCTCTGCAGCCACCAGGCATGCAGGTGGCACACAGACAAACACATAGACAAAACACTCATATACAGAAAACAAATACATCTAAAAACTACAGCAATAAGACAACCCAATATACATATACATACATACATATATATATATATATATATATATATATATATATATATATATATATATATATTCTGGTTTGAAAGAGGAAATTTGGGTAGAACTGGTCCTCCATCCAGATCTTTGGATTTTGTATCTTTGCATCTACCACACTGTGGCTGGTGCTATAGGTAACCAGGCCTACTGAGGCTGCACAAACTTTCCTGTCTATTTCCCCCCTAAGTTACACAGTATAGCAATGTCCTTCCTAGTTTGCTTTCCTGTTGTTGTGGTAAAACATTCTTACAAAAGAGCAACTTAGGGAAGCTGAAGGGGTTTATTTCATCTTATAGTGACAGTCCTTCACTGAGGGGAGACGGGACAGGACCATGGAAGAACTCTGCTTACTGGCTTGCTCTCCATGGCTGGCTCAGCTACCTTCTTACACAGCCCAGGCCCACCTGACCACAGGCCAATCTGATGGAGGCACTAAAGGAGAGCCTCCAAGGACGGCAGAGGGCCAGTCATGTCAGACAGGAAGGGAGGAAGGAGCTGGCAAATGTGGGATGAAACAGGAAAGTCTTGGCTGTTGTTTTGCAAGTAGGACTCCTGGCCCCACACATACTAGGCTCTACCATTAAGTTTCCCCCTCAGCTGCAGGAAACGTTTCTTCTTGATATGTAGAGCTATTGCTGTAACTCAGTGGGTCAGCTCACTTCTAAGAACATGTGAGATCCCAGGTTCAATCCCCAGCACATGTGTGCACACACACAAAGTCTGAAATAATGTGACTTAGGAAGCAAAATGTGTAGAAATAAAGTATGACACCACTGGGTAGGGAGGCTTTCAGGAAGCAAATGGAAGCACTATCTACCAATCACACACATGCACTCACACTCACTCACACACATTCACACATATACACTCACACACACTCACACACACACACACTCACACACTCACACACACACACACACTCACACATACACACTCACACATATACACACTCACACACACACTCACACATACACACTCACACATACACTCACACATGCACTCACACTCACATGCACTCACACTCACATGCACACACACTCACACTGGCATATTCAAGACTGTGATAATCCAAAGATATATATTTCCTAAAGTCATCATTTAAAAGGTGGTTTTCCAGGCTGGAGAGATTGTTCAGCGGTTAAGAGCACTGATTGCTCTTCCAGAGGTCCTGAGTTCAGTTCCCAGCAACCACATGGTGGCTCACAACCATCTGTAACAGTATATGATGCCCTCTTCTGGTGTGTCTGAAGACAGCAACAGTGTTCTCATAAATTAAAAAAAAAAATCCAAAACCAAAATCACTGGAAAGGGTTAGGAAAATGCAGCAGCAGTTAAGAGCTGGAGGCTCTTCCTGAATCTAATGTAAGATAGAGTCCCGGCATCCACAGTGGCTCACAACCACCTGTATCTCTAGCTCCAGGGATCCTGACTCACTCTCTGGCCTCCAGAACACCAGGCACACACATGGTGCATAGACATACATGGAGGCAAAATACTCAAAAATAGCACTAAAAGTCTACTTGAAAGAGGTACAGTTAAGAATCCACATAAGGTTCCACTGGGCTGTGCCACACTGACAGGCTGGGGTGACATTCCCAGGTGGCCTTTGAGCTGGGTGCTCCTGCACCCTCAGCACGGATGCTTTTCTCAGTCCCGTGTTCCTCTGCTACTGGGTCACAGTCTGGCTGAAGAGCTGACCTCAAGGGACACAGGACATTGGTGTTTCTAGAGGGTACAAAGGAAGAGGGAGGTCTGGAGGTTTCCTGGAGGATGTGGCATTTAAGCGCAGCTGGTATAGGCAGGGAGTGGGTGAAGGCGGAACCTGTGTGCTCGGAGGCAGAGGAGAGGCACTGGCCAGCTCCAGCTTGAACTGACGGGTTGTTGGACACACCACAGGTTGTACCAGGCATCAGTTCTACTACAGCAAAGGGAAAGTGACTGAAAGGGAGTCCAGTGTCTGAGTCAGGTCCCCACACTTGCAAAAGGACTGCAAGGTTCTGGGGACAGGGACAGCAGGACTATATCCTGAACCAGGAGATGGAAGGCTGTCTTTCTTGGGGACCCAAAAGCACAAGTCCATTTGGACATTAGTATATGACAAATTACAACAAGGTAAGACAGCCCACTCCAATTACTACGGCTGACAGGGCAGTGGATCCCCAGACAGCACAGGACCCAGGGGATCTAGGGACAGAGGCTCTTTCAGGTCACTGGAGCGTCTGTTGGGCCTGGGCCTGGGCCTGGAAAGCACTTGCTGGAGCCTTGTTTTGCAGGTGCTTCACCTCCACACCTTGCCTTTTCCCTAGGAAGTGTTACTCCTGCCTGCTCTGGCACCGACCCTACCCATATTCATAGGAGGTCTTAGGCCAGGCTAACCTCTAACACCTTTCATCCAGGCTGTTCCCTATAGCTTCTAGGACGATGTGGGCACTCAGTTCCTCTTCACTTACACTACACTGCCTTCCTTCTGCTGGAACTTTCTTTGGAGAACCCTTTTGTCTCCATCCTGCTCTGAGGCCAAAGTCTCCTGGGTACCAGATGCATGAGGTTTGTGTCTGCACTGTGTGTGTGTTGTCTTAGAGAAATACGGTTAGGAACCCACTGGCTACATGGTGCTCACCTGAAACCCTGGCATTTGGGAGTTGGAAGGAGTATCAGGAGTGTCATCTTTGGTTACATAGCCGGATTGTTGCACATGAGATACTGTGTCAATTCGCTCCTCACTCTCTTCCAAGGGGAACATCCTCAAACCACATGAGGTTGATTGCTGTCGGGAGCTGTTCTGTGCCTGGGCAGACCTTCCAGTGTCTCTCTCCGTAGCCACAATGCCTTTGTTTCAGTCCACAAACTGTTACACAGTAGTAGCAACTCTTAAGAGAAAAAAAATGGCTGGTGATTTCTCTGGCGATGACTTTTGAGAGAGCCTCTTCGGAAGGGGCCTGATTGGCACGTGCCTGTGTTTACCTAGGCCATTTTTCATAGTCTCCCCTTCTCTGGTCCAGCGGACTCTCAGAATGCCCCACCATTCCAGACTTATAGGTATGGCTACCGCTGGTGGTATCTCCACCGGATGGCTAGCAGATCTTTGTTCTAGATGGGCCTCCCAGGGGCTGTCTGGTTGTAATGGCCCTAATGAGAGACGGCTGCTTGCTTGCTGGCCAATACATAGGTATTGGCTCTAACCCTTCCGCAACGCTGTCTCATAGTCCCCGAGTTGTCACACCTAGCAGAGACCGCAGAGAAGCTCCAGAACCCAGGATGAGATGGTGTGTTTCATGCCCTGGCTTAGGAAACTCTTAACAACCGACGTTTCCACGACGACATTAACCTCCCTGCAAATGACGGGAGAGCCAGGAGGGATTCCCATTCGAGGACCAACGAGGGGCAGATGCGAGGCGGCCCGTACAGTGTCCTGAGTCCGCGCCCCAGCACAGGCGCGTGCGCATCGCCGTCTCTCTCCCCGCTCGCCCCCGCCTTCCTCGTCCGGGTTTTCAAATTTGAAACCTGCGGCTTTTCCCGCCCGAGCCGGGCCCCCTCGCGGCGGGCAGGGGCGGGGCCGCGCGCCAACCAACCCAGTCTCGGAGGCTCGCGGCCCGCCCCGGGGATGTGGCCGCGCCCCGCGCGCACGTGCCGCCCAGGCCCGCGCCGGCCAGGACCCGAGCGACTGCCTGTCGCAGAAGTGGGGCAGGTCGCAGCGCCCGGTGTCCAGGCTGCTCGGCCCGGCGGAGACCTCGTCCTCAGAGCGCAGAGCCGCAGCCCAGGTCAGACTGGGCGGGAAGAGGCGGGCTGGGCGGGGCGGACGCGGTTCCCAGGGGCGGGGCCGGGGCGGGCCCGGGGGCGGGGCGGGCCCTATGCTTATGGCACCGTGTCAGTTACATTGAAACAAAAGTGGTACCGCGGCTGCCAGAGCCAGCATCCCTAGCCCGCTCGCCGTAGGCTGTCGCCGACATGGAACCGGTGGCTAGCAACATCCAGGTCCTGCTGCAGGCAGCGGAGTTCCTGGAGAGGCGCGAGAGAGGTGAGGACAGACCCCGCGCGCGGGCTGGATGGAGCACGGTTGGAGGGCAGCGGGCGCCCCGCCGCCCGCACATCCATAGGAGTTCGCAGGCAGCCGTGCAGGGAGTGACTGGGGGAAAAGGTCCTGGCGCCAAAAGCCTCTCCTTGACTACGCCCTGCCAGAGGCTCCAGCTGACGGGCTGTGTTCTCTCTCTGGCAGAAGCGGAGCACGGTTATGCGTCCCTGTGTCCACACCACAGTCCCGGGGCCGTCTGCAGGAGGAGGAAGCCTCCCCTGCAAGCTCCTGGCGCGCTGAACAGTGGGCGGTGAGTAGGATGGGGCAGTGTAAGGAGGGATGCTGGTCCTTAGCTGACCCATCTAACCCCCTTCTCACTTTCTTGTTTGCTCTTCTGTGCCAGGTACCCTCCTCCATCTGCCCTTTCTACACACACACGCACACACACACACACACACACACACACTTTTATGATGTGTGTGTGTGTGTCCATTCATGGACTTCTAGAGCACCTTTGATGTGCCAGGCACTGTAACAAGACAGTCCTGAGCTCCCCTTCACTCACACTCCTGAACTCCCTCCCCTACAGACTTCTGCTTTTCTATCCTTTTGCATATTCTCCTTTTAAATGGTTTCCCCTCTACTGATTTCTCTGGCAGGCTTGTTTTTTGATCAAGTGTCACATCTGTCCAGGGAGCCTGTCTTGCCTAGCTGTCAGGGGGAGACCCCGCAAATACCTGGGCAAGTGTCCTGTATCTTTGGGTGTGTGTGTGTGTGTGTCTGTGTCTGATTGCTTTTGTCACTACCTGGGGTTTGGTGTCCTAAATGAGCACGGGCCTTCACAAAAGGCTTACTTGGCACAGATATCTGTGGTGAGTTTGGAGCTGCACAATAACCGGGGTCTGAGGATTTGCACAGCTCCAGCTGCCCCTCACTTCCTCCCCTTGGCATTTGCAGGTCTGTGCACAACGAGCTGGAGAAGCGCAGGTGAGTCCCAGCCTGGCCCCCAACAGTACCAGGTCCCAAGGACCATCTCTCTCAGACCTTTCCTTCTTTGCCATCCCTCTGGCTGGGATGGTGAGGCTGGTACTGCCCTCCAGACTCCTTCCCCTCCAGGAGAGCCCAGCTGAAGCGGTGCTTGGAGCAACTGAGGCAGCAGATGCCCTTGGGAGTTGACTGTACCCGATATACTACACTGAGCCTGCTGCGCCGGGCCAGGCTGCATATCCAGGTAACGAGCTGTCTGTCTGTCGTCTCCAGTGTGCTTGGGAGACTGTGTGGTCTCGTGGTGTGGATGGCGTGGCTGGAGAACTGCCTTCATCCTGTGTGACTTGAGTCAGTCCTATGTGCCTTTAGTTCTGAATTCATCTAATGGGAAGAAAAGCAGACAGCCAGCCAGGCTGTTGTGAGGCCTTGTAAATGGTCCTTTTGTTATGGTTAGTATTACTTTAAGTCTTAGCTGTGAGACCTTGGAGGAGTCTGTTTCCTGTTGGGTTCTGCAGGGAGTATACGGCTGGTGAAAATACTGTTTTAAGCCATGTGATCCAGCAGGCTGCAGAGGGCTGGTACCTAGCCTCTCTTCAGGGCTTACTGGTTTGGTTTCTGTTGGTATTGTTGAGTTGTGGGAGGCCTGGAGGCAAAGGACAAGTGAACTAGCTGGTCGGACTTGGCCTTGCTGCTGCTCGGGTGGAGTTGCAGGCCCCCTGGTGGACAGGAGTGGGTATGCCAACCATGTGGGCATGTTAGAAGCTGCCTTGGCAACAGAAGAGGATGTTTCCTGCTTTCTGGGCCCATCTGATGGAAGGAAACAGCTCCACTCAGACTGAAGGTTCAGCAGATGAGAGGCAGAGTCAATCATAATGCCTGTCCTGTTTCTCAATGGTTGTTATGCACTGCTGTCAGGCTCTATTAAAGGGCGGGGCAGTCAGTGACATTGGCATTCAGCACATTATCTGCACTGTCACATACATGCCTGCTGTCACCTCCAACTGTCCTGGTTCTCATGTAGGTTTAGGTTTCTCCTATGACCTTGTTTGACCTCATTTTCAGGCAGATGAATGTGGTACTTAGACGGGTTGGCTGGCACATGGGCATCAGTCAGCCCTTTCCTGGGCAGCATCTCCTGAGCGGCCCTTCTACCAGGCTGCTTCCTACTCTGCGTGTACATCTACGGGGGCTGTCTCTAGCTGGGATCCCTTACTTCCTGCTTCCAGTGAAACTCAAGCCTCTCCCAAACGCAGGCCTTGCTTTTCTGGGCTCCAAGCAGTCCTATGACAGCTGTTAAAGGCTTCTCTCCTGGCCTACCTGAGACAAAGCTGGACTCTGCCAACTTCCTGGGGTCCCTCTGCCTTGATGGTACCCAGTCCCATAGTTTAGTCTAGGTGAGGACATGTTTCCTTCTGTACCTTATCCTGAGTATTCTGGCTTATTCTCCCCTTGTTTATATGGGTTAAGGACCAAGCCTAGGGCCTTGCAAGCACTAGGCAAGAGCCTCACCCGAGCTGCATCTCTTTCTTGATGAGTATCTGGACTTTTGCAGGCTTTTGCCTAGTGAACTGGTAGCCTTTCAGTCTGTAGTCCAACAATTTCGTTGGCAGCAATTTAAAGTATACTTGATGTGAAAAGCTTCACCCTCCATTACTTAAAGAAATGGAGATCAGATAGTGATGGATCTCTGACCATGGACAGCAGTGGGTGGAAACCTAGGTGTGGCCACATCCTTCAGTTTTGCTTGTCAGGATGCGACAGTCCCCAAGTTTCTACTGACATTATATTCCACTCCATTGCACTACGTGAGTAGGCCCTAAGACATTTGAGACGGGGGCACCCGTGCTTGTCTACGCAATTCTCTATTGAAGGGTAGGAGGTGGTAGCCTCTAGAGGTCATGAAGCCACCTTGGGTGGGGTTATGTGTCTGTAGATAAAGGCCCCAGGCAGCTGATCCCAGTCCCCGCCCCTGTGGGTTCTGCAGAAGCTGGAGGAGCAGGAGCAGCAGGCCCAGCGGCTCAAGGAGAAGCTCCGAAGCAAACAGCAGAGCCTGCAGCAGCAGTTGGAGCAGCTCCAGGGGCTGCCAGGAGCTAGAGAGCTGGACCGGCTGAGGGCTGACAGCCTGGACTCGTCAGGCCTGTCCTCTGAGCGATTTGACTCAGACCAAGGTGGGGTGTACACCCCGGAAGGGGCGAGGCTGGGGCGGGGCACGTGGCCAGCTGAGCCCCTGACTGGCTTCTCCTTGCAGAGGATTTGGAGGTGGATGTGGAGAGCCTGGTGTTTGGGACTGAGACAGAACTCCTCCAGACCTTCAATGCTGGGCAGGAGCACAGCTACTCACATGGCACTGGCACCTGGCTATGATGCCCACTGCCGCCTGTACTCTCTCTGGACTGAGCCTGACAGTCAGCGGCCTCACACAAGTCTGCTTAGAGCCACAAGTTGAAGAGACTATGAAGCCACCGTTTGAGAGCAGGCTCTGGACTCTGCTGCACAGCTTGAGCCTGGGCCAAACTCCCCACCCTCCAGGGGATTTTATGTAGCATTTGGCCCTGCTTTGCTGCTCCCCACAGGGACAGGAAGCCTGTAAGCTTCTTGTTCCTGGGCAAAGCCCCAGGTCTCTGCCCATATATACTGCACAGTATTTTCATTAAAATCCTCTTTTGTAAGTTCCCATCCGCAGTCCCCTCACCCCCCATGAGATTGAGGAAGTCCCAGCCACAACTGGGAAAGAGGAAGTAAGCTCAGTAGCTGGCAGGCAGGGTCACGTGAAAGGCAGTGCACAGCTAACAGTCTGGGACTGCTCTAGAGTCCTGACGCGCTGAGGCGGGGTGACGTGACTCACCTGAGCTCCTGATTCAAACCAAAGCTAGCTGACTCCAGAACTGGGGCTAATCAAATCATGTGTTTATTGAGTGCCTGTTATGTGCTAAATATTGTTCAGGGTACTTGGGAGACAGCAGAGAATAAAACAAGGAGCCCTGCCCTCGTGGAGCGTACAGTCTATCACCTGAGGACTGCCATGACCTCAGGCAAGTCAGGGCACCCCTCTGTCCAGTAGACAGAGCTGGGTGTAGTGCAGATGCTGACCAGGACAGTGCCCTGACCCACCACCCCAGACAGCAGAGAGGGCTGCAGGTTCATCTTTAATAAATCAAGTACACGGGAGAGAAGGGAGAGGACAGAGGCTACACGAGCTGCTGCTGCTGCTGCTTGGTGGCCGCCTTGCTGGCCAGGTCCTTGGCCTTCTCTGTAGCTGCCAGTGCCGTCTCCTTTGCTTTCTCTTTGGCTTCTTTGGCTGTCTCAACAAGTGTTTTGGAAGGGGCCTCACCTGTGGCAAATGAGAAGGGCTGGCTTCAGACGATGCCTAGAAGACCCCCGATTCCTGTTCAACTGCAGCAGGCACTACTGGAGGGCTCAGCTTCTTAGGAATAGAGTCGGTGCCCTGTTTCCTGACCCGCCCTTCTTTCCAGGCACCCAAAGGCGTCTCAGGCTCAGATCAGGGCAGTGACTGGCCCAGTGCCTCATTGGTCAAGCCGAGGTAGGACTACTCCAGTTACTGGTAGTGAGGGTTTCCCCAACTCCTGAGACAGTGTCCTGGGCTCTCACCTTGAAGCTTGGCAAGGATGTATTCAAAGCCCTTCATTGTCTTGGTCACATTGCTTTTGAACCGGGCAAGACCAAATTCCTGGCGGGAGAGAAAGAAGGATGGAGAGCTGCTCAATGACCCAGAGCCCAGCCCCGCCCCGCAGTCTCTTACCTGGACAGCTCTGGAGACGCCAAATAAGCTAGAGGAGACCCAGGCTTCCCGACGGATCTCGGTCCAGCCGCTGTTGTCAGAGTTCACGCAGTAAACACATCGTTCCTCCACCACCTTCGAGGGAAGTCAGTTGAGCACCTTGAGGGAGCACCCTGTGCTCTGCCCACTCGCACTCGCAGGTTCAGACCCTGTCTCTACAGTGCTGCCCATGCTAGCACCACATTCCTGCACTCAACACTAGGTGAGTCCCTGCCTCCTTCACAAGCGATGACAAACTTCGACGTATCCCAGGCCCAGAGAGAGGCGTTTGTAACCTCTCTGTTGACCCTTCGAAGTAGAACAGTTTCTTGGGATCAACCGCTATTCCAACCTGGTCCTGAGCTTTGCTTGGGGCCTCTGGAAACAGATGTGAGCAGTGCTTCTCTGCCTTCTGCCCTCTCCTCTTTGAGCTTCCTGATAGTGTGTGTCACGCACACGCGCACACACACACACACACACACACAGACACACACACTCTCCAATAATAAATGACAGCTTTCATTATCAAATGGTGCAGCAGCCTCCTAAAGAGCGTGTAGACAGTAGTCACAAACACATCACTGTGTTATCTACCAAGCAGAGCTCTCAGCTGAGGTGACTTCAGACACTGCTGGGCAGGAAAAGGTGCCTTACTCACTGACCAAGAGGGTACATCTTTGTAAAGCTTTTCTTTTTTGAAAAGCACAAGTTCCGTATCACTGAGGTTTACTGAAGCTGAGAAAGAATCATCTAAAAGTCTGCAGGTTATTCACACAGGAAAATGATACAGTGTGAACATTCCCAAACATGGATTTCAAGCCTTCTAAAGGACCCAAGGTCCATATAATGCATTCCCTCAAATCTCATGCAGAAACCGAGGCAATTCCTAGGCATCTCTGCCTCGATGCAACTGCAAAATGCCTTTCTCTTTGTCCCCATTTCTCATCCAGCATAATTCCTGAAAGTCCACCCCTGTATGTATGTATGAATGAATGTCACCAACCGACTGCTCTGTACACAACATTTGTAAAAGGGTGTCACCGGGCAGTGGTGGCGCACACCTTTAGTCCCAGCACTTGGGAGGAAGAGGCAGGCGGTTTTCTGAGTTCAAGGCCAGCCTGGTCTACCGAGTGAGTTCCAGGACAGCCAGGGTTACACAGAGAAACCCTGTCTCGAAAAACAATACAAAACAAAAAACAAAACAAGCAAAAAAAGAAAAGAAAAAGGGTGTCTTTCCCCACGATCTGAGAGCTAAGGGACAGTCCCAGAGAATCTGACCAACTGAAAAGGGTAGACAATCTAAGGGCAGACCTCTACAGAGGCAGCTTATCAGTATTTTAGGCCTGCCTCTGGCCACACAAGTTCCAACAACTCTCTTGCCTGAAATCTGAAGGGCAACTATTCTGAGGAACCAAACAAGGTCTCACCATCAGCCGGGCGTGGTTGATGTTCCAGGTGAAGGTGGTCATGGTCTGATTCTGTGGGTCCACAATCGAGTCCTCCAGGATGTACACCGAGTGAGCAACGTTGGCAGGAAACAGTCGCTCTGCCCAACGCGGCATCCTGTTGGTCTTGGTCAGGAGTCTTCGGGACAGAAGCTTCTGGTCAGGAGTCACCTCCCGGTGCACTATGTCTTCGGTTAAGACATGTTTGCTGAAAGTGTTAAAGATTCTCAGGAGTCTGCTGCTGACAAAATGTCTACAGCTTCCTATTTAGAGCCTCCAGGTCATGGCTGCCTGCAATCTTGCAGAGTGATCTGTACCCGGGTTCAGAATTAGAGTACACTGAACTTATCCCCGGGCAAATTCCAACTCCCTCCTCCACCCTGACACGGATTCTGTGGAATTCCAAATCGAGCAAAATCTCAAGAATTATACCACTAGAGCGCGCCACCAGCAGGTAAGCAAGCCATCCTCAGGATTTCAGGCCCCGAAATACCGCTCAACTACCGTGCTGCCGCCTCTTCCCGTCTCACCACCTCTGGACTTCAAAATAGAAATCTAGAGCCTAATAGAAATTACAACCTAGACAGTCTTCGAGGACCTTGCAGGCTTGGCCTGACCTTAATCCTATAAGGTCTTTGCGCCGTAACTGTGACCACAGTTTCGGAGATAGCCCGCATCGGATTCTCTGTCCCGTCCTTCACGGCTCCACTACTGAAAGACAACCTATAGTCCGATCTCCAAAGGGGGAGAAGAAGGCGACTCGCTCTACTCATCGCCACTTACCTATAGGGATTCGGGTACCGTTGCCAGAAGGCAGCGAACACTTGGTCCCAGGAACTTCGGAGCACGCTCTGGCCCAGGAAATACTTCACCATCGTCCCGACCCGGGCGGGCTCAGCACCCGTGCAGCATCAGGGTGAAGAGCCCGGGGGTGGGGTGGGGGGGCACGTGGCTAGGCGCACGCCCGCCAGGCTCGCAGCTCAATCACCGCGGCGCCGCGCCCAAGTCCCTACCGCCGCCATGAGGGGCTATAGGTCTGCGCGACGCTTCCGGCGCCGGACGCACAGGATCGGCCACTTCCGGCGCCCGCGTCACGTGACCGGGCGTCCCGCCTCTTGTCGTCCAGTCCCAGAGGTGCTGTTTGGAGTTACCTACAGGGACCCCAGGTTCAGTCGGTAACCCCGGCGCAGCGGAGCTTCTGTCGCAGCGGCAGTCGCGCGGGTGAGCAGCGCAGGGCCCTGCGGCGCGGTGGAGGGCGCTGTCCGCGTCCCCGCGCCGCGGCTCTGCAAGGGACGGAGCGCCCCGGGCCGAGGCACCAGGAGCCTGCGAGGTGCGAGGCCCTTGGGGTTGGGATCTGAGGCTTGGGCTCTGCCTGGGCCGCGCGGACCCTGCAGTGGGTGAGGCGGCCCCGGGAGCATGAGCGGGCAGCGCGTGGACGTCAAGGTGGTTATGCTGGGCAAGGAATACGTGGGCAAAACGAGCCTGGTGGAACGATACGTGCACGACCGCTTCTTGGTGGGGCCCTATCAGAACGTGAGTGTACCCCTACGGAACAGGCATGGGAGGAAGGGGCGCCGGCCGGCATTCGACTCTTATCTTTTCCCTGGTTGTAGACCATCGGGGCTGCTTTCGTGGCCAAGGTGATGTGCGTTGGAGATCGGACGGTGACTCTGGGTATTTGGGTAAGTCCCTTGAGAACAGAGTCTTGGGCAAACCTCTCCCCGAAATTTAATGTCTTGCCTCTTAAACCAGCCAACCGGAGCCTCATAGAGATCGTTTTCCCTTCCTCACCCATTTACTCATTTAAAAAAAGAGCGTGTGTGTGTGTGTGTGTGGAAGATGTGGGCCTAGTTTGTAGTCTTGTGAAGGAGCTCAGTTAACTCCTTTCACCTCTCAGGACACAGCAGGTTCCGAGCGCTACGAAGCCATGAGCAGAATCTATTACCGGGGTGCTAAAGCTGCAATTGTCTGTTATGGTAAGGGGTTGGACTCTGGCCTGTTCAAGTAAGGGTTGGGTTACAGGCCAGCATCAGAGGGATCCTTACTGTGTCTCCTGTCTCGCCCCTACCAAGACCTCACAGACAGCAGCAGCTTTGAGAGAGCCAAGTTCTGGGTTAAGGAGCTGCGCAGTTTAGAAGAGGTAGGTGACCAGACCTCACAAGATTATGGACAGAGACTGTATTGGTCTGTGGAGATAATCTGAGCCTTGTCTTCTGCTACAGGGCTGTCAAATCTACCTGTGTGGCACTAAGAGTGACCTGCTGGAGGAGGACAGGCGGCGCCGTCGTGTAGACTTCCATGATGTTCAGGATTATGCTGATAGTAGCTGTTTTTAAGTCTCTGAGGATGGGGGTTGGGGGCGGGTACTGTCTGCTTGAGTAGATTTCAAAGATGGGAGTGACACCCTTGGTTGCTTGCTTTCTGGCCTTCTTGAACCTGTGGGGTTGAGG